TTTGTAAGTCGTGGAAGGAGTTCATGTATAAAAGAAAATTTTCCTAAGTTGTTGAAGGAGTTCGTGTATAAAAGAAATTTCCTAAGTTGTGGAAGGAGTTCACGTATAAAAGAAAAGTTTCCTAAGTTATGGAAGGTGTTCATGTATAGATGTCTTGTATAGAGGAGCTGCCGGAGATACATACCTGCAGTTGTACATATATATGGGGTGGTCGGGAGCCCGACTGCCTGAAGTACTGTAGCACAATGACTAGTCCTATATTAGGGACTTATGATATTAAACTCACATGATACAAAAGCAATACTATAGAAGGTCTCCATGATGAATTTGCATTAAAATAGTAGGGTCGTGGGTTCGAACCCTATATATTAATGACTTATGAAAGTAAGGTCTATGATACAAAAGCAATACTATAGAAGGTCTCTATGATTAATATGCATTACAATAGTAGGGTCGTGGGTTCGAACCCTATATATTAATGACTTATGAAAGTAAGGTCTATGATACAAAAGCAATACTATAGAAGGTATCTATGATTAATATGCATTACAATAGTAGGGTCGTGGGTTCGAACCCTATATATTAATGACTTATGAAAGTAAGGTCTATGATACAAAAGCAATACTATAGAAGGTCTCTATCATAAATATGCATTACAATAGTAGGGTTGTGGGTTCGAACCCTATATAGGAATGACTTATGAAAGTAAGGTCTACGATACAAAAGCAATATTGTAGAAGGTCTCCTTGATGCATAAGCATTGTATGGAGTGGTTGGGTGACCGACTGCTCCCAGTACTGTAGCAAAATGACTAGTCCTTATTAGGGACTTGAAAAGGAATATTATGGTGGCGTGTGTGCTGCTTCACGAGCAATTGGTCCGAGGTAAACTTGGACTCGCTAACCGATGTGTCCTAGACATATCATCTTAGTGCTGGTGGTAAGCGGGTTTGTTGTAGCAATACGGCTTTCCCGTGGACATCTCACACCCATACCGTTTGTGGGCGACGTCGTAGCGCATAGCGATGCGTCGTCTATCTTTCGGATTGGGATGAGTGTGTTTGGTAGCACTTTTAAGTGTAACAGGCATACTCAACTTCATGTCTTAGTGCATTAGCGCTATGATACGTGGAGTTTTGTCCACTGGCGTCTTAGTAGCGTGCTACTATGATACGTTGGTGCGGTTTTATATAACAACAATCTTAGTGCCGGTGGTAAGCGGGTTTGTTGTAGCAATATGGCTTTCCCGTGGACATCGCACACCCATACCGTTTGTGGGCGGCGTGGTATCGCATAGCGATGCATCGTCTATCTTTCGGATTGGGAATGATGAGTGTGTTTGGTAGCACTTTTAAGTGTAACAGGCATACTCAACTTCATGTCTTAGTGCATCAGCGCTATGATACGTGGAGTTTTGTTCATTGGCGTCTTAGTAGCGTACTACTATGACACGTTGGTGATTTTTTTTATATAACAACAATAAAAACTTTGTTACCAAAGTCGATAGGGATCATGTGGGTGTGTTGTGAGGGGGCGCCATCCGTATGATAGTTGCATTGATGCTTACTGCTACTTGCGGTATTGCGTCTTGTGATGGATCTGCGGGTGTGCTGCGCCCGATTCGACGCATTCTTGTGGTTCTGGTCGATGGAGGTAAACAAATAACATCTTAGTACCGGTGGTAAGCGAGTTTGTTGTAGCAATATGGCTTTCCCGTGGACATCGCACACCCATACCGTTTATGGGCGACGTAGTAGCGCATAGCGATGCGTCGTCTATCTTTCGGATTGGGATGATGAGTGTGTTTGCTAGCACTTTTAAGTGTAACAGGCATACTCAACTTCATGTCTTAGTGCATCAGCGCTATGATACGTGGAGTTTTGTTCATTGGCGTCTTCGTAGCGTACTACTATGATACGTTGGTGATTTTTTTTTTATATAACAACAATAAAAACTTTGTTACCAAAGTCGATAGGGATCATGTGGGTGTGTTGTGAGGGGGCGCCATCCGTATGATAGTTGCATTGATGCTTACTGCTCCTTGCGGTATTGCGTCTTGTGATGGATCTGCGGGTGTGCTGCGCCTGATTTGAGGCACTCTTGTGGTTCTGGTCGATGGAGGTATGTGGGTGGTGATGTCTGCTGGGATGTATGGGGGACCTTGGAATGGTGTAAGCCCGACGATAGTCGTATTGATGCTTGTTGCGTTCTGCAGCATTGCGTCTCTGCGATGGTTGTTTGGTGGGACGCTATTCTCAATGGCGCTCTCTGCGTCTTGGATTGACTCACGCCTGAGTAGCTTTGCCCAAGTCGGGTCCCTTCATTACGGGGCTGCAGGCTGTCTGCCCTCCATGATGTTTTATATAACAACATAATAATATATCTCTGTAACTTTCCCACCTTTGAATGAATGAAGGCAACTTGTTGGTGGGTGAGATAAACATGATCGAAAATGCATTTACTCAACGTCAGTGACACAAACCCTTTCCAATGGCGAATTATTACTCTGATCTTATAACTGCCTTTTGGCTATATCTGCCGTTGTATTGGTTGGTGGAGCATATGTGTCGACCTCATGCGGGTGGTAGCTGGCGGGAGGATCTGAGGAGACTCTCAAGGCTGCGGCCGAAAGCCGCACAACGTGGGACCCCATTCCCTTGAGGTGAGCGGTAGACTCATGACACGCTCTGCGGCTAGTAGCCGTGCTGATCATGCAATTGGTGGTGATGCCATACACTTACATCACGTCTGTAGGAGCGGCGGTCTGGCAGGTGGTGGCGCTCACGGAGGGTTTACGGCCAGTGTGCCTATTTGCCTAAACCGTGTGACGTACATTCACTGTGGCTGAATTCGTTCGTATTCTGTATGGCGTTTACACGCATTGACATGCGCGACTTCGGTCGATGTTTGTGGTTACGCACTAACAAGGGGCCAAGCCTCTTTTAATGGTTCGCCAGTTATTTTGCTGTGGACTACGGTCCAGTTCCCGAATTAGCTTTGCCTTCGGGGGGGAGTGCATCAAAATGGTTGGCGCTCACCGTGCACGGCGTGTGTGGGGCCGTGTGCCTCCCCTACATTTTTTAATAAATGTAGGAGAGCGAAGCCCTTGTATCGGGTATTTTGTATAAATATATTTTGAGCCTTTTCCGAGCGGGAAGGGATAAATAATATTAAGTTAATAATGTAAACCTGATACAAGTGGAATTGGGACGTTTTATGTTTTTAACCTTTCTCGAGCCCTGTCTTTGTGAACGGGGTTCACTTAGCTTATAAGGCACTACCAACAGCTTTCAATTGCTCTAGCGAATATTCATTCTTCCAAAAGACACCTAAAAGAACTAAGTTACTAAACAAACACAACGTAAATGAGGGTCCTAACTAAGACGATCACGCCAAAATATTACAATTGGCCTATTATTAAACCTTTATAAAGATCATTTAGAAAGACCAAAACATATTTTATTTATCCTAGTCACATATATATAATTTTTATTATAAAGGAGAATTAATTATACTTAATATAATAATATATTTATTACTATGAGAGGGGGGGGAAGCGTTACAACAGGTACACTGATTCAAGAAGGTAGAAATAAGTATCAAGTACCAACATAAAAGAGCTCCAAGACAAAAAGAATACTACGTAGTAAGTAGATAGAAGAAGAAGAAGAAGTCTACTCGACACGCATTCGAGCAGCGGGATGTATGCTTTTTATGCAATAAAAACTGTCAGCAATGAGATGAGGGCTGGGCCAGTGGAATATATACATGAAAAAAATATCGTATTAAATTATCAGCGCGAAAATCTTGCTTCTAAGGTCAAGAACCTGTATGCCCAGCATGGTAAATATGAACAATTCTTTGTTTGCTAAGTTTAAAAAGCTCCATGTCTAGTTTTAAACTAAAAAAACACAGATGAACACAAAATTCCTTGTAGTTTGCTACAAAATGCAGTTTTTAGCCAGTGACGTCTATATACACAAATATTATACATTAGATACATACATGCAGGGAATAGAGTAAATGGGGCACTACACTCTATTATGAAGAACCAGAATGTGTCAAAAAAGGCACGTATGGCAATTCATAATGCTGTGTTAGTCCCTACTTTAATGTATGGTAGTGAAAGCTGGGTGTGGCAGAAGAAGCACGAAAGTAGAATAAATGCTGTAGAAATGCGGTCTTTAAGGAGTATGCTAGGGTTGAATCTGAATGACAGGGTGAGAAATTGCATGATAAGAGATAAATGTGGTATGCAAGATGATGTTGTGACCAGGATTAAGAAAGGAATGCTTCGGTGGTTTGGTCATGTAGAAAGAATGAATGAGGAAAGAGTGACAAAGGAAATTTATATGGCAGATGTGAACGGCCGAGTCCGGAAGGGACGCCCTAGAACAAAGTTTATCGACCAAATTGGTGATATTTTGAAAAGGGGCCACGTTAGAAGTACCCTTAACAGACGAGTATGTATGCGTAGATATATGGATGTAAAGGAGGCGAAAGAGGTATGTCAGGATCGTGCCAAATGGAAGTCCGTAGTCTCTGCCTACCCCTCTGGGTGACAGGCGTGAGTGTTTATGTTTATGTAGATACATACATATGTACATACTCGTAGCACGTAAATAAAGCTAAAACCGTGACACATAGGCGAACACATCATATCGAATCACGTTCATATCGAGTGCTCTAAGTGTCAAAATACGGCTTCGGCTAGACCTCTTTAAGGCCATAAAGTACGATTTTCATTCAACTTTGCGTTGTTTCTGTTATTATTTTTATGAGTTTGCTTTTGATTCTTGATTATAATACATTTTAATTGATTTCTACTTTATTATAAATTCATAAGATTTAATTTTAAAAAAATCACGTGAAGCCACACGATATTTTATTGCGACACAATATCGGAATTCCTATTTAATATAATACAAATTCTTGCTTAATGTACTTGTTTTTCCTAAATCTACGAAAACAGACCAATGCAAATTAGTCGCGAAACCATGACTAATTTGCATTGATTGGTTTGCCTGAAACAAAATTTAATTAAAATATCCAAAAAAACTACGATGTAATCTGGACTAAGTTAATACCTACTGAATAATGTAATGTAGAATTGAAAAGTCCTCAAACTACTTTTAGAAGTTTAAATTAATCGAACTATCAACGTCTGAGAAATATCTTGTCATATTCTCTCAAGTCTCTTATGAAACTGAAATTGAATTCAGAATATGCTTTTCGTTTAATTAAATTTCATGCTTTCCCATGTAACTTTTGATATCGAGAGCTTTACATTATCTTACTTCTTTAATAGTTTGAATATTAAAACGACATTTTTTTATGTGTGTGTGTTGGCGCGTAAGAACATCTATCATATAATAATAGTAGCACAATGCTACTGTGTTACATATGGTGAGTTATGGGATCCTGGCATACGTCGTGCTCGATGGTCATATTTACTTCTATAAAAAAAAACTTTTTCTTCTTTACTCCTTTGTTGTCGATAATGCACGTATCAAAACCAAGCGGCAACGTAGAGTTTTATATATATATATATATATATATATATATATATATATATATATATATATTATAACTCTACGTTGACTGTGTTGTAAGAATGACCATTACCCTATATCGTCCCGCGGGTGTCGTAAGAGGCGACAGAGGGAAACTAATATAGAAGATGGGCAGAAGCATTTTCCTGGTCATAACTTAAAATATTAAAAAACTGCATTTACCAACCCGCCTGCCAGGCGTGGCAGCTACAAAATCCTTCCTATTGCAAGGCGGTTATGGATGATACGCTTGGAAATTAAAGCATATATAGAATAAGTTATGTATATTTGTTTTATTAATTACAATTCATAAAGCAAACTAATGTCTTATGTATTTACTCTGTATTAAAACAGATATACATTTTTACCTAATGTATAAAGTATACCGACCTCTATATATACAAGTACGCAAAGTAATAAAAAGAAACTTAAGGAAAGAAACAATTAAATCAACCATATGAGTATAGTAAAGTTAAAGCATATATATATATATATATATATATATATATATATATATATATATATATATATATATATATATATACTGCTGGCACAGGCCACCTCTCACTTCTGAGAGGATTTTAGGGCGACGAAATGTCCGCAGGGCTGCCCCAATGCGTGTTGACGGACTTCACATGTCTTAGAAATAGTTTTATTATCATATCAGAGATCAGGTTTCCTCACGACGTTTACCTTTACCGCCGTGCACGTGTTAAATCAGCAGTTAAAATTGCATTACAAATTTCATTGCTTCCGGCGGAGATCGAACACGGAAAACTTACGAGTATAAATATTAATTCCACTTGCCTCCCTCACATTTAGTAAAACCTGTTAACCTTTTTTCAGAAACACGTATCACAAATAAAAAATTGTTAAAAATTGCTCGACAAATTCAACGCCGTCTACATAAAACTACGAAACTCGTAATGACTCTGTAACCACTTAGGATAATGGAAGAAAACACTTGGGTTCGGAAGAAGCAAGTTCCATGCAGTATTCGAAGGCGAGGCGGTCGTAAAGTGTAAACATTACAGTAAATTTAAACACCAACTGTATACATTTCAAGTTTAGATAGATGTGAATTATGTTCAAGGTAAAAGAAGTCAATGAACAAATTAAACTTCACTGGCCTTTTATTTCTTTACACACTTAGCATCAAACCGGCCATATAGCTCGCAGAACTGACAACCGATGTGGTAAAAAGGTACTTAAGTGTAAGAGGCCTATTACACTACACTGAATCAGGGTCCCTAAACCATTTATAAGAGAGGTGTAATAAGAGTAAGGTAGTAAGGGTCCATAATTATGACGTCAGAGTGAACCCGGTCCACCTTACTCCCTTAGTGCGCTTACCAGCGTGAAGTGTAATAATACGGTACGTACATCAAAACGACGGACTGTTACCCGGACGAGTAACTCGGACGTGTATGTGCTTACACTGCAACAGTGTACCACTTGTGTCGACATTGAAAGTTGCCGGTATTCTTTTCTATTTTTATATTTTCAATATCCGTAGTCGTTTAGGTAGATAACAACACTGACAGAAACAACAGAATAAAGACAAAATGATTATATTAAACTATAAATTATTAAACTATAAAATATTTTATAGTTTAATATAATCATTTAACATAATCATATAAACTATAAATTATATTAAACTGTAAAACTACCGGCCTATCGCCATCACCTCCTTGTTCTCCAAAACAATGGAGTCTATTGTAAACTGCCAGTTCATGAGGTACCTTGAGGATCACCAGCTGATAAGTAACCGCCAATACGGTTTTCGCTGTGGTCGGTCAGCTGGTGATCTTCTGGTCTACCTAACTCATAGACGAGGCAGTAGTGTCCAAGGGGGAGGCATTGGCCGTTAGTTTGGACATTGCGAAGGCCTTCGATCGGGTTTGGCACAAAGCGCTTCTTTCGAAGCTCCCTTCCTATGGGCTTCCCGAGAAATTGTGCGATTGGATCACCAGCTTTCTTGCAGATCGGGGCATCAAGGTCGTTGTAGACGGTGCAAGCTCCGATTGCAAGCCTATTAATGCTGGTGTTCCACAAGGCTGCGTGCTATCGCCAACGCTGTGTCTTCTGCATGTCGATGATATGTTGCAAACACGTAACATTCATTGCTATTCAGATGACAGCACTGGTGATGCTCTTTACACCGGCCGAGCCAATATTTCTCGGAAAAACGTCTCCGAGTGCCGGGACAAACTTGTGTCTGAAGTCGAGTCTTTGCTGAACCGAGTCTCGGATTGGGGGCGACTAAATCTAGTCCAGTTTAACCCCCAGAAGACACAAGTTTGGGCGTTAACCGCTAAAAAGAACCCCTTTGTCGTATCTCCTCAGTTTCAAGGCACTCCCCTTGTTGCCTCAGCCAGTATCGGAATCCTCGGCGTTGACATATCGAGTGACGTGCAGTTTCGTGGTCACTTGGAAAAGAAGGCCAAATTGGCCTCTAAAAAGCTTGGCGTGCTCAGCAGAGCGGGACAGTATTTCATGCCGGCACACCGCCTGCGACTTTACAAGGCGCAGGTTCGGCCACACATGGAATACTGTTCCCATCTCTGGGCTGGGGCTCCCCAGTACCAGCTCCTTCCACTTGACCGCATCCAGCACAGAGCGGCTCGAATCGTCGACGACCGAGTGCTTTTCGATCGGCTCGATTCACTGGCACTGCGAAGAGATGTTGCATCTCTTTGCATTTTATTTCGCATATACCATGGAGAGTGCTCTGAGGAATTGTTCGGATTAATCCCAGCCGCCAAATTTCGTGAACGCACTACGTGGTTCGTGAAAGCATCCACACCATCTGGATGCTTGGCGGTCCACCACAGTATGTTTCAAAAGGAGTTTTCTTCCGCGTACAACCTCTCTGTGGAATAGTTTACCACCGGCGATTTTTCCGGACCGATACGACCTGGGGACCTTCAAAAAAAGAGCTTACTCCTTTCTAAAGGGCCGGCAACGCACCTGCAATTCCCCTGGTGTTGCGGTTGATCATGGGCGGCGGTAGTCACTTAATATCAGGTGAGCCGCATGCTCGTTTGCCCCCTCTTCTATAAAAAAAATACACTCAATTTGCACCGTAGACACCGGCAGTCGGGCGAGAAATCACAACAAGTTCGTACTCGACGGTTGACTTGATCGGCCGTTTTCGTGCATTATCGGACGATAACGGTCGTGTTTCTGTAAGCACTCTCTTTGTTTTACAAGTGTTTGATTCGATCGTCCGAGTTCGGCCGTCGTCGCCGAGCAAACTTCGGCCGATGACGGATTAGGTGTATAATGTATAGTTGCCTACACTGCCGTCATAATAGAGAAGGACGTAACTAACAAAAACGTAAAATGGAGATAAAAAATAAATAGATGATTTTTTCTTTCAGACCCTGCTGCGTCTAAAATATTCTAAAATGTATCAATATGAAAATTGAAATTGATAGTTAGAGACATGAAGATTTTAAAGACGAACTTTTTTTTTGATAATTTGTTTATTTATTTAAATAAAACGGATTTTCCTTTTCATTTTAGCTTAAAAAATAATCCCGGTAACGCAAAAACTTCGAAGGAAAGACGCATATAACCATTTGCGTCTTTCCAACCTAGTAAATAAAAAAACTGCCATTCTTTTAACATTTTTACATATCTCGGAAATTTAATTTGAAATTGAATGGACGCAAATGGTCATTTACTACTTTTCTTCTTAGTAAGTATGTAACAAAATTAGACACAAAAAAGTAACAACCCGCAATAAAGGGGTATCATACCAGACTTACTACGATAAAACGTGGAAAAACTTAAGAGAGTGGTAACATTAGTGAGGTTATTTTTAATATTAAATGCATTGTATTAGAATTATCTAAACGTACTCAGTTACATTATGTAACACTCATAAAATCACTCTTTAAAATATACCTTTTCCAAGACGTGCTAAATAAGAATAATAGACAAAAAACAATTAAAATTTTGTTTATTAAGAAAATTAAAAAACTAAATTTTTACGAATAGTTTCACATCAGGGTATGACTAATAATCACAAAACCAAAAACTTAAACACAAATTATTTTCAAAACATTTAAACAAAATAAATACCTCTAAAATTTAATAATTTACTTATTAATTATTTTCATATCATAGTTTTATTGTCATTGCAACCAATAAATAAAAACTAATAGTTTCCCTTCAGTGTTTTTCTAAATTATCATAAGTTTTGAGCAATTTCAATTACATGATTAAATATACTAAAAGCTATATCAGTCTTAAATTTGCTTTCACAGCATCAAAACCATAATTATACCTATAAAACTTAACTGGCACTTTTTCGTACATTTTTAAATGTGCAACGAGTGAATTCAAATTATTCTTAAATTTCCTTTAAACAGGGTTTAATTAAATTACTATATTTAATATTTGAGCAACAATCACTTTTGTTAACATCTAAAAATGAAAAGAACACAAAGGAAATTTATCCTTAATAACTAAAAACAGACTAAAGGCCTTTTTATTTCTCTCTACCACACACTTAGTCATTCTGTCAGCTTCTTTCTTATAATAAATACAATGGAATAGAAGTATAACAGATATTTATCACTTAAAGCTAAACTCAGATTGAAGCTACCCTTGGCCTTTTTGAAATGTGAGACCAAAATACCCTTAAATATAAAAATAAAAAGAAGATTTGTACGTTCAGTCTTCATAATTTCTTGTAAGATCCACCGCATCATCATTCACTGGCAAATTTTGCCAAAACACTCTTCTGTTTTCCGGCGTGAGTGGCCCTAATTCCCTAATTATTTTCATTTTTCGTTCAGATGTAATACCCTTGAAAGTAAAATTTTGTTTGGGAGCAGGTATTCCATTTTTAATATTCTTTACCTTTAAGAAAGCCAGTGAATGTTCATCACCATCGAAATTTGTTTTATAAAAAAGCTCGTATTGGTAACCTCTGCGAAAAATAATTTGGCACATATCATTTAAATATGCCCGTGGATTCGAGTTTTGTAACTTGTACCCAGAAGAGCAGTCATCAAATTTATAAAAATCCTCCACATTCATTTTTTTACTGTAATAGATTTATAGTTAGTGCTTAAAACAGCTTGATAAAAGTCTTCGAAATCATAAATTCTTTTTTATTTTTCATGGCCATTTGGCTACTAGCTAGCTACTCTATGATGAAATTCATCGGCAGCCATAAATGTGTGACCAACTTGAAGATATTTGAATGTAACAGTTTCAAATGAAACTTCAGCTGAATTAATGAGGTATAACATATATGAAAATAGAGCCCAATTTTTATTCTAAGCAGCGCAATTATCTAGCCAAAGCACTTAGTGCTTCATGTCACGATTTTGTAAAAAAAATGCTCTAAAGCAACTTACTATGTCATCTTTCTTTCGACCAGATATAGCTTCATGCCAAAGAGCTGAAAATATTTGAAAATTTAAGGTTGTTTTCTTTTCTCCGATTGGTACGAAACTTTCATTGAAAACAATTAAGCGTGGACAGAACATCACTGCTTTAAATTGCTCCATGCGCGGCAACATTATAAATTTCTGTAAATCAACGGCGAAATATGCAGTATCAGAATCACCTTTCATATTATTTTGTACGTCAACATTACGCTGGTACTCGGCTCGAGCCAAAATGTACTTTTCGTGGTGAATCTCATAATTTTTACATTCCTCACAATTTCGGTGACGTAGATCAGTTCTAGGATTATGAATCAAGAATTTTTGACATAATTCACATTCCTCGTGACCTAATTTAGCAATAGATATATTGCGATCTTTGACGATCTTACGGTAGTATTCGTATGAGATCAGTTTCTCCTGGTCAGTGCAGTGGGTCTCACAATAATCACTATACATTGCTGGCACTGTAATATCTGAAGACAAGTACATTACATTGGGAGCATGCTCACGTCTATAATGCGATATCGTAGGATGAAATGATTCGACATGCTCTACTACATTTTCATTGTTAATTTTCTTGGGATTTGTCTTCAAGCCCCTTTTATCCACATCTCCTTCTTTCATTTTTAAGGAATTTCTGACAACTTTATCATTTTTCCTATTAAAACCCAAAGTTTTTAAAAAAATGTCTTACAGACATTAAATTTAGTACCGGCACTATCCAATAAAAAGTAAGAAATAGTATTTTGTCTGTTCAGTATTCTTTCACCTAATTTGGGCCTGGGCCTGGGCTTTGGTCGCGTCATAGAAGTATTTTGTCTTATAAAAATTCTTTGTTCTGACCACGTCATATTTGTAAAAAAAATATTAATTTCTTTGCGCCGGTCTTCTGAAATATATGTGCTACATTTTTTTGCAGGATTCAGTACAGCCCTTTTTTAATTGGTACTTTTCCGTTCTCTTCTTCATATTTTAATTTACTTTCTGGTTTTTAACGACATCTCATATCTCTTTCTCTTTCTTATAGTTCCTTTTTTAGTATATAATAAATCATTTTCTTCCTGCTCTGGTGAGTCTGGGATTATTACAATTTGACTATTATCAATAAATTCTTCCTGAGAATCTGTATCGGAATCGGAGCGGTTTCTTTTGTAATCGGTAGGCGGTATATAATCTTTGTCTTTGACAGAATCGTCAGAGTCAAAAATACTCGTATATTGATCTGAAACTATTGGGGATAGTTTAGGAGATTCCTCCTCACAATAATAATTAAGCTCAGATGTCTTTAATTCTCTACTAATCTTTTTATGCGATAATAAATTTTCTTTATTTTCGACAGTGTCTTCAGCTGTTGGAAATTTATTTAAATCATCTTGAACAATGTTACTGGTCGGTAAAAGCAACTCTGAATCTCTGACATTTTCGTTCTGCATCTGACTCAACAATATCAATTCATTATCTGATTTTTCTACTTCAGTTTCCGCTGAATTTAGCGGATTTGAATCTGGACCCTGTATTACATTAGTTGCCATATTTAATAGTTTTAAAGATCTGCCTTTCTTCATTTTAGAAATCTGAAAATAAAATAAATGTAGAATAATTAAAAATTAGAGATAGTTGATAGTTGTAGATAGTTTTTTTTGTAAAGTGACAGACAGACAAAAATTCTTAAAACTATAGATTAAACCTATGTATCGATAATAATGACTATTTCAATAGGATTTTCCAAAAAATATTTATATGCATAGATAATTTTTATAATAAAAACGAATAAATGGAGACTTTACAAAATATGTTCAATACGTTTAACATTCTTACCTTCTTTCGCACCGAAACGTGACGTTACCACACTCTCGAACGACTTGGGCGCAACTGACGATACATTCCTGCACTTCCCCCCTCTAACCGCCACGATGTACCCGAATACTTAATAGAAAAAACCCAAGTGGCCACTTCTGTCTTTTCAACTTAGAAGTTAAATAAATAATATAATCTCAAGCCTATAAAAAAGTTGGAATGTCATTTACGTCTTTTCAATTACAAAGTAATTTAATCATTGATGCTTAATGCGACGACATTTGCGCCTAACTTATTATGTTAATCACTGTGAATACTAAAATGATTGGACGTAAGAAACCAAAAGCGTCTTTTTATTTTAAAACTATTAACTTATGTCTTTTCAGTTAAGTAATCGATGCAAATATTGTTAAATATGACGGAGCATTTGGTTAAATAAGTCTTTTCTTATATGTTGAATTTGAATACGTCTTTTCTACTTAAAAAATATCATTTTTGATCAGCAGTTACGTCCAAAACTCTTACGGTATTTTCTAAAATATTGATATTTTAGGGAATTAAAAAAATTGAGTAGATGCGCCGTTTTATCCTGAGTCGAATGCTATATTCAACTCATTTTGTCAAAAAATGTAAGATGTGCCCTTTTTTCTTATGACGGCAGTACACGAGTGGTGAGCACAGATGAACTGTGGTGGGAGGTAGGTACACTGTCGGGCAAAATTATTGGATACCTTTATTATTTCAATTCGTAATTTAATATTTTCGGCGACTTTTATGAAAATGTTTACTCGAACACATCAACTTTTACTTTGATACAGTAATGTTGCAGATATTCATGTCCGTTATTTCATTATCTACTGTGGCGGCGCTGTCGTCGCGCCGCAAGCGAAACACACCGAAGCCTAAATCAGAATTCCAAATCATAAACGGTATATATAGAACATCTCCGAACTATCACACGGAGTGTGAGCCGCTCCCCGGGCAGAACACCTTGCCCTGCGGGAGATCTCCCCTTTTCCTTCCACGGCCACAGTGGTGACTACCCGGCGTGATCTGAACACGCAACCGACAACCTTCGGAAACTTCAAGCTTCATCATCGTCATAGAATACCCCACCCATTCGCTCCCGAGCAGATATAGTCTGCAGTCTTCATAATCTGCAAGCCATCTAGCTTCACAAGGCTTCCTGTTCCTTCAAACTACTCTCTGCGCTATACAGTGTTCGGCCCGGCTCCTGAGCCTTACTGCTCGCCTCTGCCTCACGGCACTCTCGCAGATTACTTGCCTTCTTCTCGACTCACTGCAGACTAAAAGGCAATCTCCTGGCACTTGCACATTCGTCGGCAAGGAGGCTGCACTATCGACCTCCGATCTGAGCAGGGGGGTGATGTGGCGGCGCTGTCGTCGCGCCGCAAGCGAAACACACCGAAGCCTAAATCACGCTATCAGAATTCCGAATCATAAACAGTATATATAGAACATCTCCGAACTATCACACGGAGTGTGAGCCGCTCCCCGGGCAGAACACCTTGCCCGGCGGGAGATCTCCCCTTTTCCTACCTCGGCCACAGTGGTGACTACCCGGCGTGATCTGAACACGCAACCGACAACCTTCGGAAACTTCAAGCTTCATCATCGTCATAGAATACCCCACCCATTCGCTCCCGAGCAGATATCGTCTGCAGTCTTCATAATCTGCAAGCCATCTAGCTTCACAAGGCTTCCTGTTCCTTCAAACTACTCTCTGCGCTATACAGTGTTCGGCCCGGCTCTGAGCCTTACTGCTCGCCTCTGCCTCACGGCACTCTCGCAGATTACTTGCCTTCTTCTCGACTCACTGCAGACTACAAGGCAATCTCCTGGCACTTGCACATTCGTCGGCAACGAGGCTGCACTATCGACCTCCGGTCTGAGCAGGGGGTGATGTGGCGGCGCTGTCGTCGCGCCGCAAGCGAAACACACCGAAGCCTAAATCACGTTATCAGAATTCCGAATCATAAACAGTATATATAGAACATCTCCGAACTATCACACGGAGTGTGAGCCGCTCCCCGGGCAGAACACCTTGCCCGGCGGGAGATCTCCCCTTTTCCTTCCACGGCCACACTACCATAAAGTATTTAATGTATACCTGGTGGTTAGAATTGATTATTTTATTAAGAAGAAGGAAGAGGTGATATGCCTTCCATAAAATCTGGTGTTGCGGTGCGCCGTACAGTAGCTACTGAGACATTAGTCGCCTCAGCAGTCTGTTTATATACGTCTATGATGTTTTTCGCAGTACCTAATTTTTTCATGTAACTAAGCACTGAATCGAAAATTTGTCGGGATTGTCTATTTAACACCGAATTCTTCCTTCTCTGCATATTTAGACCAAATTCTGAACACTCAAATTATAACAACAAAAATAATTAAAAACAAGAAATAACAAAAACAATTAATAACAAGGAATACACAAACAACAATTAACAACGAGCTGACAAAAACAATTAACGAAAATAAGCTTATTAAAAAAGTTATCATTAAAATTATTGCTCTGAAGTGTACGGAAGCCGAATGATACGTTCGAAACCAATAGAAGACGACAATCGACTAATGAACCAATCACGTTGAACGTCAGCGTGGTCAACGTCGTATCGACCAATAAAAAGTGTGCTCACGACTTATGTCGGCAGTTATATATACGAAGCGTTAGGAATTAGGATAGTTAGGGAATTTTTTTAGATGCACGATGAGCATGGAGAGCGGTCGTGTGTTTTGTCTTTGTGTTGCTGTTTTCGCGCGCAGCTATGCCCAACAAAGAAAGTGTTGTTGTCTGTAATCGACTTGTACAAAGATATGCCTTATTTGTGGAAGAAGAACGACAAAAACTGTATGTATGAAAGAACTGTATACATAAGAAAGGTTTTAAAGTAGGAATTTTTCTGCCTAGGATTGCATCTCGGTAGTATCACTTTCTTATTTGTTACTATCGTCAAAAAATAGTGCAAGCACTGCTGTTAAGTCTAAAGGGAATTGAGAGCTAGTATAATTACAGACTGGAGGTACCATCTTAGTCCTCACAAGTGACCTTCAATAAGACACCTTTAGCCTTATTTGCTTAAAGTTGGCCGCCAGTGTCGATGGACTGCAATACCCGCCTACTATCTGGTGAACTGTAAGTTCGTTTATCACTTGTTCTATTTAAAATAGGAGCCAAAGTAGCAGAATACCATAGAGTATTTTGTACTTATATCAGTTCGCTTTTTACATCACTTGCCTACTGGTCTGGTGATCGTAAACGCGATTGCAGATCATTAGGTCCCGAGTTCGAATCCCGGGTCGGGCCTAAATCACTTTTTTATAGTATAGGGTTGACAAACAAGCACACAGTCCACTTGATTGCATGCAGTGGCCCATAGACATCTACATTCATGCTCGATTAAGAATCAAAACACAGATGCGTTGGCGAACGAAATTGGGGTTTTGTAAAAAAAAATCTCAGTGGCAGCCCGGAGATAGGAAGCTGGCGGTCCCCCCCCCCCCACACGTAAAGCACGTAAAGCCGTTGGTCCTGCAACTGATTTCTCTCCGCTCGTGTCAAATTACCGTCACATCGGACTATGAGTGAGAGAATAGAGTTGTCAATACGTGTGCTATTGAACTTAACATTTAATGACAACAACCACCAATCCTATAATAAATAAAAAGAATAAGTGACAAATCTAATCATGCTATTACGGATTACTTTACCTAAAGTTTCGCGTCATCGACAACTTTGGACCAACATATATTACGGCAGACTGCGTTACACAACATAACTGTGGCTGCAAAATTCGATTGATTAG